ACATCCCTATGTTTTGGCCTTAGGTTTAGGGTTTGTGAAAGCAAAAAACTGTCAAAAATCACTAAAAATTGCCATTTGGGTGGTTTCCAAGGCCGCCAAACTAGCAAAAATCCCTGTGTTTTGGCCCTAGGTTGAGGGTTTGTGAAGGCCAAGAATTATCAAAAATCACTAAAAAATGTCATTTGGGCGGTTTCCAGGGCCGCCAAACTAGCCAAAATCCCTATGTTTTGGTCGTAGATTGAGGGTTTTTTGTGACAGCAAAAATGATCAAAAAGCACTAAAAAATTGTCATTTGTGTGGTTTCCACAGCCTCCAAACTCGCCAATGTCGCGAAAATATCCGCAAACATATCCACCCTGTAACACCGGGCGTCGCGCATCAGACCATTGGATGGGAACTTTGAAGACGCAAAATACCCAGACACCGGGCGTCGCGAAAATATCTACCCTGTAACACCGGGCGTCGCGAAAATATCTACGAAAATATCCACCCTGTCACACCGGGCGTCGCGCGCCAGGCCATTGGATGGGGACTTTGAAGGCGTACAATTCCAAGAAATCACCAACACCTACCCTGTAACACCGGGCGTCGCGAAAATGTCTACATAGAAATTGTATAGGGTTCGTGTCCGGAGTTTTGTACGTTGTTTTGCTTTTGCCTGAATTTTTGCTGAAAACACCTGCTTTTTCAGCATTTTTTCAACCCCTCGAAAAGGGTTGGGGGGGGGAAATTGCCCAAAATCACAAAAAATGCCATCTGGGTGGTTTCCAAGGCCGCCAAACTAGCCAAAATCCCTATGTTTTGGTGCTAGATTAGGGTTTGTGAAAGCCAAGAATTGCAAAAAATAACTAAAATTGCAATTTGGAGAGTTTTCAAGGCTGCCAAATGAGCCCAAATCCCTATGTTTTGGCCTTAGGTTGAGGATTTGTGAACGCCAAAATGGTCTAAAATCACTAAAAATTGCCATTTCGGTGGTTTCCAAAGTCGCCAAATTAGCCAAAATTCATATGTTTTGGCTCTAGATTGAGGGTTTGTGAAGGCCAAAAATTGCACAAAATCACAAAACAACACCATTTGGGTCCCCGGCCGCCAAACTAGCCGAAATCCCTATGTTTTGGCCCTGGCTTGAGGGTTTGTGAAAGCCAAAAATGGTCAAAAAGCAAAAAAAATTCCATTTGGGCGGTTTTCAAGGCCGCCAAATGAGCCAAAATCCTTATGTTTTGCCCTAAGTTGAGGCTTTTTGAAGGCCAAAAATGAGCAAAAATCACTAAAAAAAAACCATTTGGGTGGTTTCCAGGGCCGCCAAACTAGCCAAAATCCCTATGTTTTGGCGAAAGCAATACATGATCAACAATCACTAAACATTGGAATTTGGGTGGTTTCCAAGGCCGCCAAACTAGCCAAAATCCCTATGTTTTGGCCGTAGATTGAGGGTTTGTGAAAGCAATACATGATCAACAATCACTAAAAATTGTCATTTGTGTGGTTTCCACAGCCTCCAAACGCGCCAATGTCGCGGAAATATCCGCAAACATATCCACCCTGTAACACCGGGCGTCGCGAATATATCTACCCTGTCACACCGGGCATCGCGAAAATATCTACCCTGTTACACCAGGCGTCGCGAAAATATCTGCCCTGTCACAGCGGGCGTCGCGCATTAGGCCATTGGATAGAGTCGGATAGAGACTTTGAAGGCGCAAAATACCAAGAGATCACAGATACATACCCTGTAACACCGGGCGTCGCGAAAATATCTACGAAAATATCCACCCTGCAACACCGGGCGTCGCGCATCAGGCCATTGGATGGGGACTTTGAAGGCGTAAAATTCCCAGAAATCACCAACACTTACCCTGTGACACCGGGCGTCGCGCATCTGGCTTTTTTTTTTCTCTAATTTCTCCCCATTGAGGCCAACCGGGGGTTTCAGTAGTTTGAATAGTTTGAATAGTTTGAATAGTTTGAATAGTTTGAATAGTTTGAATAGATTGAATAGATTGAATAGTTTGAATAGTTTGGGGCCCCAGGCCGGGCCCCCAAACTATTCAAACTATTCAAACTGTTCAAACCCCTCCCCTCTCCTCCCAGGGACCCCCTAATCTATTCAAACTATTCAACTATTCTAATCCCCCCCCCCCTTCTCCTCCCAGGGACCCCCCAAAACTATTCAAACTATTCAAACTATTCAAACTATTCGAACTATTCAAACTATTCAAACTATTCAAACCCCCGGGTTTGAATAGTTTGAATAGTTTGAATAGTTTGAATAGTTTGAATAGTTTAGGCCCCAGGCCGGACCCCCAAACTATTCAAAACCCCCCCCCCTCTTCCCGGGGACCCCCCAAAACTATTCAAACTATTCAAACCCCCAGGGATTGAACAGTTTGAATAGTTTGGATAATTTAGGGCCCCAGGCCGGACCCTCCAAACTATTCAAACTATTCAATCTATTCAAACCCCCAGGGTTTGAATAGTTTGAATAGTTTGAATAGTTTGAATAGTTTGAATAGTTTGAATAGTTTGAATAGTTTGAATAGTTTGAATAGTTTGAATAGTTTGAATAGTTTGAATAGTTTGAATAGTTTGAATAGTTTGATTAAGTTTAGGGCCCCAGGCCGGACCCCCCCCCAGGGTTTGAATAGTTTGAATAGTTTAGGGCCCCAGTTCGGACCCCCAAACTATTCAAACTATTCAAACCCCCCCCCTCCTCTCCTCCCAGGGACCCCCCAAAACTATTCAAACTATTCAAACTATTCAAACTATTCAAACTATTCAAACTATTCAAACTATTCAAACTATTCAAACTATTCAAACTGTTCAAACTATTCAAACTATTCAAACCCCCAGGGTTTGAATAGTTTGAATAGTTTGAATAGTTTAGGGCCCCAGGCCGGACCCCCAAACTATTCAAACTATTCAAATACAACCCCCCCCCAACTCCTCTCCTCCCAGGGACCCCCCAAAACTATTCAAACTATTCAAACTATTCAACCTATTCAAACTATTCAAACTATTCAAACTATTCAAACTATTCAAACTATTCAAACCCCCAGGGTTTGAATAGTTTGAATAGTTTGGATAGTTTAGGGCCCCAGTTCGGACCCCCAAACTATTCAAACTATTCAACCCCCCCCCCCCTCCTCTCCTCCCAGGGACCCCCCAAAACTATTCAAACTATTCAAACTATTCAAACTATTCAAACTATTCAAACTATTCAAACTATTCAAACTATTCAAACTATTCAAACTATTCAAACCCCCGGGTTTGAATAGCTTGAATAGTTTGAATAGTTTGAATAGTTTGAATAGTTTGAATAGTTTGAATAGTTTGATTAAGTTTAGGGCCCCAGGCCGGACCCCCCCCCAGGGTTTGAATAGTTTGAATAGTTTAGGGCCCCAGTTCGGACCCCCAAACTATTCAAACTATTCAAACCCCCCCCCTCCTCTCCTCCCAGGGACCCCCCAAAACTATTCAAACTATTCAAACTATTCAAAACTATTCAAACTATTCAAACTATTCAAACTATTCAAACTATTCAAACTATTCAAACTATTCAAACATTCAAACTATTCAAACTATTCAAACTATTCAAACTATCAAACTATTCAAACTATTCAAACCCCAAGGGTTTGAATAGTTTGAATAGTTTGAATAGTTAGGGCCCCAGGCCGGACCCCCAACTATTCAAACTATTCAACCCCCCCCCCCCCCTCCTCTCCTCCCAGGGACCCCCCAAAACTATTCAAACTATTCAAACTATTCAAACTATTCAAACTATTCAAACTATTCAAACTATTCAAACTATTCAAACCCCCAGGGTTTGAATAGTTTGAATAGTTTGGATAGTTTAGGGCCCCAGTTCGGACCCCCAAACTATTCAAACTATTCAAACCCCCCCCCCTCCTCTCCTCCCAGGGACCCCCCAAAACTATTAAAAACTATCCAAACTATTCAAACTATTCAAACCCCCAGGGTTTGAATAGTTTGAATAGTTTGGATAGTTTAGGGCCCCAGGCCGGACCCTCCAAACTATTCAAACTATTCAAACTATTCAAACCCCTAGGGTTTGAATAGTTTGAATAGTTTGAATAGTTTGAATAGTTTGAATAGTTTGAATAGTTTGAATAGTTTGAATAGTTTGAATAGTTTAGGGCCCCAGGCCGGACCCCCCCCCCCAGGGTTTGAATAGTTTGAATAGTTTAGGGCCCCAGTTCGGACCCCCAAACTATTCAAACTATTCAACCCCCCCCCCCCCCCCCTCCTCTCCTCCCAGGGACCCCCCAAAACTATTCAAACTAGTCAAACTATTCAAACCACCAGGGTTTGAATAGTTTGAATAGTTTAGGGCCCCAGGCGTGACCCCCCAAACTATTCAAACTATTCAAACCCCACTCCCCCCCCCCAACAAAAGGACGAATCATCACATTATACACAAAGGTTCCTGCCTCATATATATATATATAACACGTGAGCAGAGACTGAGCAGGACAAAGAGTCGAAATAGATCACCGAACCCTAAAAAGCCCTCAACCCCAAAAGTCCTCTAATCACCAACCCTTAAAACCCATTAAACCCCGAAGCCCTAAACCTTTAGGTTAAAGCCCTGAAACGACGAACTCCCTAAAGATCCTAAAGACTCGTCAACCCCGAAAGCCTAAAAGCCTTCCAACAACCCTGAACCCCAGCCAGCCCTCAAAAATCCCCAAAACTCAGGGCAAAAAAAGCCCAAAGCCTGAAAACCCTATGCTCTAAATGCCCTAGCCGCCCTATCCCTCAGCAGCCTCAACAGCAACACAGCGGGCGCATTCCACTCCACAGCTGTCTGATTTGCTTTCGGCTGGTGTTCCGATTTCGGCAATCTTTGGTTTCCGTACCAGGTCCTCCTTGTTTCCGGATGTCGTTTTCTTGCTTTCGGACTCCTTTCTCTGATTCTGACACCCTTCACTCCATCTTAAGAATCTCTTGGCGTGACTTCTTGGGGCAATCCTGCCGCAAGCCTGCTGAGCGGCCATTGGGGAGGACACGTCGACCACGTGCAGGATGAGGGTTGTCTGCAAAACAAGGCTGTCAGGGCGGGGCTGGCGAGCATGTGGCTGCTCAGATAACTCGCTTCCTCACACGAATCGTGACCCCTAAACACTTAAGCCCCAACTTCCCCTAAATAGGGAAACCATCTTAAACCCTAAACCTCCCATCCCTGCCCCTCTCCGTGGCACCCTTGGCCTGGACCACCTCCTCCAACGTGGCGCGGAATCCGGCTACAAGCTGCTCAGGTAGCCTCTAGTTTCCCAGGGAGAATTTGATTTTGGTATCTTCTCGCATCTTCTCGCATCTTCGCTCTTAGCTTCGGCCGCCGTCTCCTACAGAGCAAAGAGTTCGTGAACGAACCGCAAAGTTAAACTCATCGGGCCCTTTTTGTACTTCTCATTCGATTAAGGAAGCCAGTGCTGTGCGTTCTCTCGGCTGGCCTCTGGATGAAGCCGACCTCAGTGACTCAGAAACAATGATGCGAGACACGATAACCCACACAAACAGTCCGGTTTTGCGCTTGGGGGCACCTAGTGTGCGACGGCTGACTTGGGTCAAAGCTTGTCGTCGCAAGGACCAGAAAACTCCGCTACATTACATTAACGGCAAGACATGATGTCCAAACGACTGCAACCCCAAGATTCTCTAAAGCTGACCAACAGCCAGCTGAGAGTTGCAAGGCCGCTCAAACAAAAACTCCAGATGCAATGCTCTCACACCTTGAGTGCTGGGCGGTATCGGCTAGCATGATTTGGCGGCCGCCTTCCACGGCAAACCACAAAAACAGAGGACACCAGCGTCCCCCCAAACACCGCGGAGCTTGGTTGTCTTTACACTCCGACTCCGGCCTGGGAGTGGCACAAGCTGCAAGTGAGAAGAAGACGCCGAGCCACTAAAGTCGCTAAACCTCCTCCCAAAGCCCAAGGCCCACTTAGCTTTTAGGCCTCGCCTGGTAAGGTCACAGAGCGGCGCGTGGGATCCAACGTCTCAAAGAGGCGATCCTGGGACTGAGGACAATCCATTTTGGCTTCAGGTACCTTCAGGTACCTTCAGGTACCTTCAGGTACCTTCAGGTGCTGTCTGCAAGGATTCCTACAAGATTCTCCCCACCTCAGCTACCTCTAAACCCCGCCCTCATTGCCTTGAACCCGCAAGCAGGACCGCACCTTGGCCTTCACCTGCGCAGAGGCTCGCGGGTTCACTCCACTTACCAGGAAGTTCCCTACAGGCTTACAGGGCATGTCCGGAGTAGGAACAGATCTGAAGCTAGATAGGATCGGCGGCTAGTACCATGCGGCAGGCGGCAAACACCAACGGAACAACACCATAGTCTGAACAGAACAAGCTGCACAGGACGACTGTTATCTGGCGGAACCATGCAGAAGAGCGGAGTGAAATTCCGCGATCGTGCTGAGCGGTTTCCTAGACTCTTCCTAAGAATTGTCCGATCGGTCTCCTCAGGAGGGCCATCTCCCCGTGCTCAAGAGCCAACATCGGAAGGCACCCCAATGGCCCCAATGGCCCACTTCACAGCTCTCTTTGCAGCCCAGCTGTGCCTCGACTTGCTGCGCCAGCGCATTCAAAAGCGTGGACCTGGGAGTAGCCAGGAGACTGGGTTTGGGATTCCCGGGCGTAGGGTTCTCTCGAATCTACGAATGGCCATCAGAGCTTCCTTGGAGCTCCCTATACCATACTCCACACCAACCACCCGTAATCCTAAACTACACAACAATGTCCCCAAATAGGACCCCAGGTTTAACCTTTCTTTTGGAATGGGTAGAGTGACTCGTACACACACAGACCCGGCAGCAACGCGGTGAACCAGGGAGCTCGCTTCCCCGCATTGGTGTACCCAACCTTCAGGCGCAGGATTTGGGGATAGCAGGTTTAGGTGGGGGGGGGGGGTTTGGGGCACAGGGATTGGGGCAAAATCAGGGTTCGGGCTTCAGGGCGACTAAACCCCACACTGAATCACTCAACTCATCCAAAATTAGGGCCACTGGTCTCTGCCAGGTCACCAGGGAAACGATCGGCAAGCCAAGCTCCACGTGACCTCTGCCCACGTGAGCCATGCTCAAGCACTCCCTTTCATCAGGGTTGAGGGTTTAGAGTCACACGGTCACATGGGGACTACCGTTGGACTACTGCATCGTGCCCTCACCAAAACAGCTTGAAACAGTGGCCTACTCAAGTCACATCATCGATACATACGCTCGGCCCCCCTTTGCTAAACCCTGAACCCTAAAAACCTCTGCAACACGAGAAACTTTAAATCGTGCCCGGGCTTCCCTACGCTCGCGCTGCTGGGCCCGGACTTTGCGGACCTCTGTTCCCGGGGTCGGCAGGAATGTGTCGGGTTTGGTTTAGGGTTTGAGGGTTCGAGGCTTAGGAGTTCTTAGGGCTTTTAGAGCTTTGGGGATTTTGAGGCTCAGGGTATTCGGCTGTTGGGTTTTTGGGTTTTGGCGTGCACATGTAGGGTTGAAATCTTGGGGCTTTTTGGGCAGGTTGCGGTCTGCTTCCCGAAACTCTCTCCCCTCACGGTTGCTGCAACACATGGCACGGGGCTTCGTGTGGCTTTAGGGCTCGCGTTGAAAGCACATGATGACACAAGGCTTCTTTGTAGCTCCAACCGCTCCGACAAGCCAGGGCTTACTCTGAAGCCCCAAAACACCCATGGCTCCGAATCACCTGAAGTTTCCTCCACGATCGAATACTGAAGCCTGGTTGGACCGATACAGTGCCCCATGCCCAGAACCTGAACCAACGTGAGCCCACAACTTCGTGGCAGAATTTTGGCATCGCAGTGAACCTCCTCCAGCGCTTTCGTCGTCGCTGCGATCTTTTTCTTCATCAGTGTCCTGAGCGATGTTTACCCCAGCACCTCTGAAGAATGTTCCGCAGCCCTCGATGTCATCAGCAGATTAGGCACTTAGCCCGACCTCTCTAGGTCCCACCTGGGGCCTAATATGCCTAGTGCACCACGAAGCAGTGCCCATTCTCTGGCAGAAACTTCTGCGGCAATGGTCAGCTGCACAGCTGCATGCAAACCCCAGCTACCCACAGCTATCCGCGTTTCAATCTGTCCCAGCAAACGGCATGATGGCTTTGTCGCTTCACATGTTGGCTGTCATGCGTCGGCTGGTCTATTCGCATGCACTTGCTGTCAGAATCTGTCATGGAATTGTCCGCGACTCATGGAACGGTGCGGACATGTGCGGACTTTAAAGCGACTGACTGCTGTCTCTTCTTCCCATTTGGCTTTCATGAGGTTCTGTGACTCCAGTTCGATATCCAAGGACATCCAAGGACTTGAAGAGGCAGCAGACTCAAACCGTGCCAGCCTGTGCCAGCTAATCCTCCGCATGAATTCACTACAGCTACACGTCTGGCTGCTTGGCAGGGCGAAGCATTCGAACTTTCTTTGGGCTGTCCGCGATCTCACGCACCCACAGCAGCGCAGCACGTGGCGGTGTCGGGGCGAAGCCCTGGGTGAAACCTTTGGGGTCTTTGGGTGTCAAAGGCTGTGTGGCTAGGGAGGGCACTGGGGCCCCTGGGGGTCCCCGATGCCCCTGGCGAGCGAACGATGCGAACGCCGACTGGACGACAAGCACCATCAGGCACCACAGGCCTCGGCCCGTATGGCCCGTGGCCCTTCCCTGCTTTCCCTTCTTCTGCTCCAGAGTCCCCACACTTTTCTGAACCGGAATCCTCGAAACCTTGATGCTCGAAGTCCTCAGCTGACTCAACTCTGTCTGTGGCTCGATCTCGATCTCTCTGATCTCTTTCAAGAGCCTCTCCACGTCCTCGCCCGTTCTGACCTCGGACAACGATGCCTTCAGGATAGCAAGCAGATCATCTGCGTCCTCGTGCGCGAGGATCTCCCTCGCTGAGCGAAGGATGGCAGCTGCCTCTGGGCCCCATTGAGCTTTCGGAGCTTAGGGTGGAGGCTTCCCTCGTTGGAGCTTGAGGAAGCTAGGGGGGATTAGGTTGCTTTGGGGTTGCTTTGGGGTTGCTGAGGGTTGCTTAAGGCTCCGAAGGGGCTTGAGCTGGCCAAGCGACCACCAGCTCTGGGACCAGGCCATCCATAGGCTCGCCTCCAAGTACCAGATCGCAGACGTACTCGCTTGCTGCCAAGGGGAACTCCGAGGCGAACATGGACCTGGGAACCAATCTCGAGTCTGAGTCTCCGGATAGCACAGCTAAACATAACTTAGGGTTTAGGGGTTTAGGGCTTTAGCGGTTTAGGGGTTTAGGAGTTTAGGATTTAGGGTTTAGGGTTTAGGGCTTACCGATCACAAGGAATTAGGATGAATATCGATGAATGGCAACAGGCTCATCCAAGCGGCAAGAACCAGCCAGGCATGAATCCTCCCGATGACTCATATTTGGGTCTCAAGAAGCAAGACACGCCGCCAAAGTGGCATCAAGACCGGGGAAGGGAAGGGGAGGGGAGGTTAGGGGAGGTGAGGGGGGGGGGGTCCTGTTAAAAAGAACTGCATGTCCACCTTCTTCAGGTGGCCTGTCAGGATGGAACTTTTCATCCTCAGCATCTGAAACCTCGGCAAACGCAAAGACGCTGCCGGGGCTTGACTGGGCATCAAACGCAGAACTTAAATCCCACCGATTCCATGATGCGACTATTCCACAGGCCTCTAGCCTTCCATGATTCTCTTTCCCCTGGCTCCTGCTGTCCCTACTACGAAGTCTACGTCCTACTCTACCTCGGAACTCAAGCGCTAAGCTTGCCAGAGGCGACAAGGCACACGGCGCAAACAGCCATGTCCACTGGCTCGGCCATGGAACCATCACTGGCCAGAAAGCCTAAGGGGAAAGGGGGGGGAGCTCCAAAAGGTGCTGAAACTTCTGGGTGGGGTAGGGAAGGAGGGGGGGGGGATTCCGACACAGGACTAATGTGCAACTAGGGCGCCAGGGTGCAGCTTGCTCACGATCTTCTTGAAGCGAGTGAGGGCCTCCTCTTTGGTCCGCTTCTGCAAACACAAGGCCATCCTCCGCAAGAGAGTTTGCTTTGCTCACTTTCGGTCGGGAGGACTCCGAGGGCTGTCTGATTCTGGGCATCTGAGCATCTGAAGGGCATCTGAGGCCCTGGCAGCTCATTTAATCCTTGAGTGTACTCGCTTTCGGTCTCGTGTGCCCACGTGAGCAAAAGCTCCTCAGGGCAGTCACGCCGTGCCCTGAAACAACAAAGCCGGCCAATTCCAGTCTCATCACAAACTGCATGCTTTCTGGACTGCGTGGGTGAAATCCAACGGCAGTCCTCGACGTTCTTCTTTAACTCTTCCTCCGCTGTGTTAGACAATCCAAAATGTCGCATGCACGTCCTGGCTCAGCGAACTGGCAGAAGCTGTGACAATGTTCATGGTCGAGCTTTCCGGCAACCCTCTGAACCCTGAAAACCCGACCCTGGCGTCCTTTGCGCATCCATTTTGACGAGCTGCGCCTTGGATAGGAAACAAGAGCCAGGTCTAGCTCCTTCGAAGCCCAGTATGCCATGGTACGTCCCCCAGTGCCATCAAGAAACAAGGCTCGGCATCGTTGAATGTGAACTATGTAACTATGTACAGGGTCTTACAAACTTGCCGCGTAAGTGTTGGCGGCTGCAAGCAGGAGCATGTACAAAAAACAGAACTCACCACATGCAAATCATCAGAAGCTGCAAGCATGGCATGGCCCTGCGAACGCCGAGCCGAATCAAAATCCCTTCCCTGCTGTGTCCTGTCCAGTGAGAGCTGCGTTTCGCCCTTACCTGCCGACGCTGGCAGTGATTCTAAGGAGGTCATGAATGGCAGCTGCGCCAACATGCGGTCATAAGCAGCGGGAGTCATCACGTACCTGGAAGAACAGAAAAGTACGATGCACGAACCACCCCTCTTGTAGCTTCTTCTCTGTGGGTTGGTACTCACAGTCATCCTGGAAATTTGTCATGTGCGCCCACTGATGCATGGAAGACGGCTCTACCTGTTACCCACAGACGATTCCATGACCGCAGTGATCGCATGTGATGGCATATGATCGCAGCCATGCAGCCACTAGCGTTGCTTGTGGCATTCTGTATGGTGGCTGCCGGAAGGCAGCATGTACACTGGCAGCCCTGCACCGCAAGCCCCTGACACCTAAAGCGGCCAACTCAAGCTCAAGCTTAGAAAGGCCGCGAAAACAGAAACACACAGCAGCTGCATCCTGCCTTTCAGGTATGCCCCACCACCCGACGCGGTCTTGGCAGGGCTTTAAAACACGTTGGTCCAATTACTTCCTGGAATACCTTCAAGACTTTCAAGTCTCATCATGAGCCTCTGATTCGACTGAGCTGCGGACGCCCCCTGCACCGACAGATCCTCCCTGGGCCTCCATGCCAGCGCCCTGCGGAACATTGCTGAAAGACATCAACCGAAGAATTGGACCAAGATGCTCCAAAGCTTCCTAAAAGGGCCTACAGCGACAGAAACCCCCCCCCACCCTCTTTCGGCAAGGCCACGTGGAGTCACGAAGGAATGGACGCAGGCCACGCTGCCCACGCTCTCTACACCCACCCTGAGGTTTGCACCGTGGTCAAGTAGTAACGCAATCGAGGCAGCATGTAGCGCTGACTTGCCAGCCTTGCTACGTGCAGGTCGACCACTGATCACTGATCACTTTACAGGCATCTGCAGGCAAGTCCGATGGTCCCAGCATGAACCGAACATGCAGTCTGGATCGATTATGGCTGCTCAGTCGAACATCGGATTCACGGATCCACCTCACCACGTCCCGCACAACTAAAAGCGATTATGACGCATAACACCCAAGACCCAAACCCAAGACCCAAACCCCAGCGCCCGAACACCCTCAATACTGCCGCATTGTCCTCACACTCCCTGAAAACCCAGGTGCACGCATCACACTTTTCTTAGTGGGCGGCTTCACTTGAAGCTTGGCCTCCTTGGTGCGTGCCCGCTGCGCGAAGATCCTTGCAGTGGACTGTGACACACAGGTTTGCTGAACATTGCAGAACTGCATACTGGCATACTTCAGGAGATGGCCAGGAAAGCTACTGGTAGCTGACGCCGCAGTTCTGTCAAGCGCTAACCCCTCAGGACTCTGCCTGTGGTGCGAGGTTGAGGCTGTATGTTTACAGTGTACCGTGGTACGAAAGAAGTAGCTTGAAAAGATTTGACAGGTTGTAAAGAACCCCAAGCTGGTGGCCATCGGGGAAATGCGTGAACACTCATTGAATTGTGAATTCTCGTCATCACAACCATCCGAAAGATGTGCACTTTGCCAGCAAGCAGCTCACATCCTAACAGGTCCTAACAGCAAGTCAGGAAGAAGGGCCTGATCTCCAAGCTTTGTAGCCTGACTCTACGGCTTCTCCAAAACCAGACATGCAAGTGGATTGCCTCAGGATGAGAGATGTCCGGTCGAGGATTACACCTGGCCAACGCCGTATCGTGACGCAAACGACTGTGTCATGTAACTTACACAAAGACTCACGATCCATGGACAACGACCCTACAGCCTCTACAGGAAAGGCTTGAAATCAGAATATACATGAAATATAGATATAACCGACTTAGACAGACGTAACATCGCTGTATTTTGTGTCCACATAGAACTTAACAGGCAGGCCCCACATTCTCCTTCGGGCCTCAGTCACAGAAAAGTTGCTTTAAGGCTTTAATCGTTGCTTTCTTTGGGGTCAATTGACTGCTCTTTGCTCTAACCGACTCTGACCTCGATGCAACTCTCATATGGCTGTTCCAGCTCTCTGCGCGCCTGGGCGGACGAAGAAGCCTACGCTGCCGGAGCTATGGATGCTACGGCACATCACGGCCCGCAGCCATCAGTCCAGACAGAAATCTGCTGGGGGCAGCGTTGCATTCCCACTCTGACATGACTCGTGACATGCACTGCGGAAGCGTACCCAGGGCCCCAGGCGCGATTTGACCTTTGAGGGTCATCAGCATCCTGTATGACATGTCCTCGCAACCGTCACAGCAAGCATATTGCCATGGCTTCAACAACTGTCAGCAGGTCAGGCCTAGAGAAAATTGTTCCCTGGAGCTACAAAAGCGCTCCTGGTCGAAAACCACAACACCGAGCTCTGGATCATACTTGACCTGACAGGAGTTCGACTGCTCGCAGGCGGTGCAAGCGCGCAATGCATGCATCACCGTACGCCTCGACATCATCCAGCACTCTAACAACATGAGGCCCCTTGAAATTCGTCGGTGGGGACTCCAAGCAAAGAGTTGAGTTCAAGGAGTGGAAAAACTTTTCCCTCCACCACTGTCCGCACTGGCTCAGAGCGTTCAGAAGGAAGCGAAAAGAGCGCTGGCCCGGAATCCCTTTTTTGAGGGAAAAGCGCAAGTCGCTGCGTCAAGGCTGTCTTCCACGGCTTCTCGACTCTGAGACCCTTAAGCTTGAGAGTTTGGGGCAAAACCTGAATGCTCAGAGCACTCTTAGGTAGAGTGGCTTCGCTGCCGTTCGACACGCCTGCCATGTGATTCTTGAGAAGGCCTCCTAAGACGTGCTCAACGATATGGAGGCCTTCAGGACCGAAGCAGAATCCCAGAGGTCGCTTGCATGGGCTGGTGTAATGGCTGGTGATGGCTGGAATGTTACGTATGGAAAGTACCCCATCTCTTCTTCACGTCAACCCAAAGAAACGACGCCATGCTGAGTCGAAGTGCAATACCGCCCATGGAGGACTGACCCCTGCCGTGTTATCCAAGTCCATCGCGGGAGGTGCCTACAGTCCTCGCTCTTCCAAGATGCTACCTCAGCTTTACCTCGATCACTAAATGGAGGCACCTTCCTGATAGCTTGGAGAATGGCTTCAGAAGGGCTATTGTGAAAATGCACTCTCGCAAGCTCGGGAGTGTGTAACTGAATCCTGAGAGGATGCTCGGCGACAAATTGTCTTGGGCAAGTCTTCGGCATCCCCATAGAAGCACCCTCGATGCTGTTGACCGTGAAAATCGCGCCGCCGAAGGAGTCAAACATCTCCTGAAAAAAAAAACCCAAAACTAAATCCACCATCCTGGTTGACAAATTTCCCCGCGCAAGTCCTTGGCGCTTAAGAGATGTGATTGCAACCGCAAGGGGACTGCAAGGTTCGAGGGCTGTTGCCGTGCTTGCCCTTCAGAACATGTAACCCTCAAAGCGCCCAAAGCCTTCCCGAACGCCCGAGTCCTTCGGCTGCCTCATCCAAATAATCGAAGACGCCAACTTCGCGGTCTCCTCGCAACACGCTTGCGCGTGCGGCTGCTGAGTGAGTGTGTGAGTGTGACTGAATGTGACTGAGTGTGAGTGCGAGTGAGTGTGACTGAGTGTGAGTGCAAGCGAGTGTGAGTGAATGAGTGAGTGAGTATGAGTGTGTGTGTGGAGCAAAGCATTTCAAAGTGGCATGCAGAACACTGGCGCTTCACTTCCTCTGCGCTCCCCGCCCAATTTCAAGGCTCTGATTTGCCGATTGCCGAAAGTGCGATGTCTTTCGCATCTCCAACCGCAGAGCATAACATCAGGACTTTCGTATAAAAAAGTCACACCAGTCTTTCCCGAGCCACTATGCTTGTCAAGATTTGGACGTACAGCTTTGTCGAAGAGGAGCATACGAAGGGCCGAATGGGTTTAGAGCCTACAGGGTCTATTTAGTTAGTTAGCAGAACCCTTGCCCATTTTGAGTAATAATCCCACCAGTCAACCCATTAGACGATTATTCCTATACTCCCCCCTACACCTCACCAACTATATCACTACTACTTCCCCATTACCAATAGTGCCAATACCAGTATAGGAATAACCGATTACCTCATCCATATAAGAGGCTTATTCCTATACTCCCCCCTACACCCCACCAACTATATCGCTACTACTACCCCATTACCAAGACCAGTATAGGAATAACCAATTACCCCATCCATATTCCGGTATTATCATCCCAAAATGGGCAAAGGTTCTCTCATAGATTTTACTAGGTTTAGTTTCAAAGGTTGTAACCATAATATACTCATAATGCAATGCCTCTTATATGGTATGTTTATATTATACTTATGAATGCATTATCCGATATAGTTTAGAGAACGAATTGTTTTCGCTGGTTTGCACTGGTTGCTTACTGTTGATACCCTTTACCTCATCGTTCATAGGAATTTCAATTATGACCTTATTATCCTGCTTGTTGAATATCAGAAAACAATTCTCAAGAAGTTCATCACTCAGCAATAATTGTCGTGTATGGTTAAACACATGATCAATTTCTGACGGCTTATAATCTTGCTTTTTGTATTTCTGACTATACTCTTTCCTCTTCTCTCTGCATTGAATACAATTTGCAAATAACTTGTTATTCTTGCTGTGTCCGAATTCTTCCACTGTCTTTTTACTGCGACACCTTGAGCATTTAAGTTTTGAACCTTCCATGTTAAATATAGAAGACACTATCCTCTTAAGCCATTTTCCTTTTATCATTGTATGCTTTCATACTGTCTAAACATTCACAGCAAGTAACAGTGGTTCTATACTGCATTACACACCTACCCGTTTTGCAATAATAATATCTTTTGAAATGCACTAAATTCTTCCAGTCTTTGCATCTGACACACTGCCTTTCACAATGAGGAGGACGGCACTCAGTCACCTCGGGCAGCGGGAAAAGCTGCCCGAGCTGGGGCCTCAAACTCGGCTCCGCCTGTGACCCCACACCAGACGGAGCGCCGGGAGCTTCACCGGCAGCGAGTCGTCCAGCGAAGTCCTGGGATGCCTCCGCACCTGCCAGCAGCCTCTTGACCTCCTTGATCTTCGTTCGAGCTTGCAGCAACTCCACTTCTTCGCGGCCTTTACGAGCCGCCCACGCCACTCCAGTGAAGAGCTTCGCGTGGTTCCAGTCAGGAACTCCTGAACTGTTGGAGTAGTCTTCTACGATAGTCTGACGGCGTCTGCCTACAGCTTCAAAGCTGGCTAATGCCGGGAGGTTTAGCTGGTCGTAGCATCCTCCCAGCCATAACACTTCAACGGGACAACGAACCTCGTGGGCGGTGCGGTCTGTCTCTTGCAAGTGATTCTTGCGCAGCCACATCTGGAACCAAGAACGAGGCTCTCCTCCATGCTTGACAAAGTGTTTCATGGAGAACAGCAAAGAAGCCGGCCCCTGATGGGCCAGTCACTCCAGGAGTGGCTTGATGAGTCAGCAACGACCCGCCTCCATTCTCGGAATCTTTCTCCTTGTTCATCATACTCAACCCAAAGTGTCCTCACATCGTTCTCGTCGGTGGCCTTGGCATCCGTCACCTTCTCATTCTGCAGAATCGCCGACTCGCCCTCAGCAAGGTGGTCGGGATGCCGAGGAGGGCAGCGACGTTCCCTGTGACGGGGCAGGTCCTGTGAGGCTCCTAACGCGACCCACCAACCACTGGTCGAACAAGACGTCGGTGACCAGCTCGCCTCGGAGCCACAAGCCTCCCCGGAAGAAAACAGCATCCTGTGGCCCCAGCATCCTGTCCACGCCTGCTAAGGGGCACAGCGTGTCATTGACCTTCGACTCTGCCCGAGGTTCAGCAGCGCGCCAGGTGGCAGGTAGCCCCAGCGGGAGCGGCCCTGACATCATCTCTGCCTTCCGTGTTCGTTTCCCCAGCACCTTCTCGGCGGCCGAGGTCTCCATCACCGGGATGCTTCCCATGAAGTCGATGCACGGTGAGAAGCCCTCTCAGGTAGACACGGGAAGCCTTCTTAACGCCATCTCTTCCCCGAATCTGTGTAGGGCGCCAAGCTGGATCAAAACCTTCTTCGCTCAGAGCCTCCAGATAGGCGGCACGGATGCTGGCATGCACTGGCGCAGCGAAACGGTACGAGGCCCCGCCCACCACTCGCCCACCCGCGACCAGTACACAAAGTCCCTGCCTTTGATCTTGATTCCGCTCGGGCCATCTTCCCCAGTGCATCGCACGTCCTCGGTGCACAGGTCTTTGTCAGGAGTCAGAACATACCATACCCCATCGGCAAGCTTCCATATCAGAAGCCGTTCGTGCCACACTGTGTCATCGGAGTAGAACACCGCGGCGATGTCACCGGGCATGAGCTCCAGCAAGGATGCCATGTCCTCGCCTTCGAGGGCTCGTCCCAACCTCTGTCAGGCCCTGGCCAGTGCTGCGCCAGGCGCGCACCAGCCAACCGGACGCACTCAGGACCCCTCCCAACGCGAAAGCCACTGCTACTGACGTCGAGCTCCAACCTGGATCTTGCTCGCAGTGACAGAAGCACTCACAAGATGGGGCTTGAATCTCTGGGCAACTTGTCGGAGCACCTCTACAGGTAACGTTCACCTGGATGTCACAAGGGTCGACCAGGTGGCAAGGGCCTCCAGAAGCCACGCCAAGAAGAGCCCTTCGACTCGCATGGCTGGTCTACATGACACCCTTTAGACTTGAGCAATCACCACGTCAGCATAAGCCACCGTGCAGGCCCTCTACTGTATTCATGTGCTCGCACTTCCATAATCCTGGTTATTCCTATACTGGTATTGGTAATGGGGAAGTAGTAGTGATATAGTTGGTGAGGTGTAGGGGGGAGTATAGGAATAATCGTCTAATGGGTTGACTGGTGGTATTATTACCCAAAATGGGCAAGGGTTCTGCTAACTTATTTGCGGTTTAGGGCCTGAAGGATTCAGGGTGATCCTTGAGCCAGCTCGCGAAGTGCCCCCCCTCTTTGAAGTCTTGCTCTTGCGGACTTTGCGGAACGAACGACGTGCTTAAAGCCAAGCCTTCTGAAGCCTGCGTCCAGGCCTTCTCGCGTACACGTCTCGCAAACCCTGCTGATTCAAAAAAGTGCAATTATGTGAATGCCAAGAGCTTTGTGTCACAACCAAACTGGCTTGATGGAGTCTATCATGGCAAAGTTTGCTGAATTACGTTCGCCGAGACGACTCAGAGGGGACTGCTTTGGGGCCGGCGGAAATGTACACGTTGCACTGATCGAAAGTGGAGATCGTTGTTGTCGGCAGGATGGTTGTTGCGATTTTGGTTCTGGGGCGTTGTGGTGGTTCATGCCCTTGTTTGCTTTGGTTGCGTGTAGCGCTAACACCTGGCTGACCACAGCCCTAGCAGCCTAACACTAGTCACACACACACACACAAAACACGACCTCGTACACAGAAAGCTGCCAAGGTACGGGGCTTGTGCCCCCACGGTTGCCAATTGCGGGTCGGAGACGCCGTGGAAGTCTTTCTCGACAGGCTGCACCTCGCGACCCTCAAGCCCTGGAGACATGATACCTTCCCCCAAACCCCGTGGCCTCAGACGGTCCGCATCTTTCAGGAAGGTACTCGCGAACCAGTCCCTCAACGGCCTAACCCCGCAGCCCTGCGCGAAGAGTTCGGGGGGCGCGCCTTCACCGAAGGTGTGAAGAGCCGAGCGGGCAGCCCCAGCACCATTCTCCAAGCGGACTCGGCGAGCACCCATGATTTAGGACGAGGAGGGTTGCGGATGTCGGGTTCAAGGTTCAGAGGCGGAAAATTTGGGGTTCTTTTATTGATTAAGGGTGAAGGTGCCGCGCTTTTGGGGGGTTTTCTTGTGGGAGTGGGCACTGTACCAGAATTTGTTCGGCAACCAAGGCAAGCAAACGACAAGTCGTTTTGTAACATGGGCCTTTTTTCCGTACCCTCAACGAAGAAAAACAGAAAATAACCCAACAACAGATCCACATTTTCCCCCAACAGGAGATGGATGCCCAGAAAGCCATCCAAGCAAATTCAAAAAGAAACACAGCCCAAGCGGCCTTCTTGGAAGTAGGCTCCATGCCAGTGTGCGCACCCATGCTGTGGGTCTGTCAGGGACAACTTCAGAGAGATATGACTCTGACGGAGATTCAAGGCCCTAGGGTCTTGGGGGCCTTTAGGGTTTCAAGGTTTGGGATCTAAGTTCCTAAGCTTTCGGGGTCTGCGATTCCGGAAGCTCCAGCCTGTACCAGGTGGTGAGCGCAAGCCGTGAAATTCAGTAATTCAATATACTTCAAGCTCGCCACTTTCTTGGATACATCCAATTTCAAAATGCATCTTTCAATAAAATTCGCCTCGGCTTCCTGCCGAGAAGCGTCTGGAACAAGCAGACCTGGATCCGGTCTCCTTCCCCCTAACCCAACCCTTCCCCCCCACAAGCATGTCTTGTGCCCTCCTTCCTCCAACCACCCCTTCCCACTGGGACGCCCCATAGAGGGCGCCTCGAGGCGTCATCTCCACATACTGCATGCTCTGGGCCGGCCCGGCTGCCGAGGCGGCGCGCGCAAGCGTTTACAATTGCCTATCGACCTTCCTGCCCCTCAGCCTGATTCGAAAAGGAAAAACTTTCGAAGTTGTTGTCTTGTGCACACAGCTCCACTTGTCTGCCAGTCCGAGCAAGCCTGCATCCCCTGCTTAGGCATCCTTGGGTCTAATTTACAATGCCTTGGCAAGGAAAAGCACCTCCCCACAAATACCGATTGCTAATGACAGCAGCGCGAAAACAACTGAGGCTAGCTAAGGACTGAAAACTCCAAGTCTAAGCCCACAGCCTCTCAAGTGGCACAGGTGCACCACAGTCATTCATACACACACACACACACACACACCCGACCTGTTTCTGGGAGGCCTTCCGGCTGACGATTGAAGCCCGCGGAGAATCAAATGTTACTGCCGCCTGGCAACGCTCACAAGCAAAGGGCTGCCTTGCGCCGATCTTCTTTGTGGCTTACGCAACGACATGACTCTACTCAATACTCGGAAAACGTGGCTCAGTATGGTCAATAGGTCTTGGTGGAATCCTACGAAGCTATTTTGAGCTTCGTAGTTGAAGGTGAGCCCAGTCCTGTTCCGGAAGTCGAGCCGCAGGAGGCACTGGCCGAGGCAAAGGTGGGGCATCATCCTGCAAGCATGTGAAGGCATGCCCATGAACTCCCTGAACTCTTGGACCCGAAGGTTACCACTGAAGAGGGCGATCAGACGTTGTGGGGTCACGCCAGAATTCCGGCGCCTGCATTGAGGCGCTGAAGGAGTCGGACTTCTGAAAGGAGCTCACCCCCAGCTGGCCTTAAAAGGGAACAGGCCAAAAAAAGAGATCTCCTTAGTTCGACAGATGTGCCAGTTGTAGGGCTCCAGCTCTCGGAGTTGCCAGGGGCCGTCCTGCAATAACCAAAACTCTTCTCAAAGATTCGCGCAAGGCAGCCAAGAGGATCAAAAACATGTGTCAGTTTGCGTCCTCCCTAATCGTGTCTGGGATGTGCTCCGGTTGATGGAGCTCGATGCAGCTAGTAGCGCACCGCCTGAGCCAGAACTTGAGAAGACCAAGCTGACAACAAGAGAGGATCCCATTGCGCCTTTCGTGGCCATGGCTGTTGGTGTCGAGAGCAAAGCCGGCTTACATGACAGAGCGGTCATCGACGCCTAGAGCGGATGCAGTTCAAGGTTTCGGGCCTTATTCGTTGCAGATGACCTCATTCCGAGCTGATCTAAATCCTGTCGGCAAGCTCCAGTGCCCGTTTGTCAGGTGATTAAAGGCAATAAAAGCAAATGCACATACGTCAGCTGCGCAGGTCGCAACGCAAGTCGCCGTGCAAGTCGCTGACCCTTGGCTGCGCTGCTGACCCAATTTGGGCAGCTCCAAAAACCCTCCTATCCCCCCCCACCGACCTTCGCCTCACCATTGCGGACCTGTCGCTGCGATGTTCTGCTTGTGCGTGTGTGTGTGTGTGTGTGTGTGTGTGTGTGTGTGTGTGTGTGTGTGTGTGTGTGTGTGTGTGTGTGTGTGTGTGTGTGTGTGCAGTGTGTGTGTGTGTGTGTGTGTGGTGTTGTGGTGGTGTGTGTTTGTGGTGTGTGTGTGTTTGTGGTGTGTGTGTGTTTGTGGTGTGTGTGTTTGTGGTGTGTGTGCTTGTGGTGTGTGTGCTTGTGGTTTCTGTGCTTGTGGTTTCTGTGCTTGTGGTTTCTGTGCTTGTGGTTTGTGTGCTTGTGGTTTGTGTGCTTGTTTGTGTGTGTGTGTGTGTGTGTTTGTGTGTGTGTTTGTGTGTGTGTGTGTGTGTGTTTGTGTGTGTGTGTTTGTGGTGTGTGTGTGTGTGTGTTGGTGTGTGTGTGTGTGTTGGTGTGTGTGTGTGTTGTGTGTGTGTGTGTTGTGTGTGTGTGTGTTGTGTGTGTGTGTGTGTTGTGTGTGTGTGTGTGTGTGTTGTGTGTGTGTGTGTGTTGTGTGTGTGTGTGTGTGTTGTGTGTGTGTGTGTCTCTTTCTGCACTCTTGTGAGCGCGCTCTAGGGATTGTCTACTGTAGCTGCCCGTCAAGGGCATAATGAATTGCACTTCACACGGCATAGACATCTTGTGCCTCGGGAGAGGCCAGGACCCATGCTGTGGAGAAGGCAGCGCCTGTGGAGCGCGATGCAATTCGTGTCTCAAACAAAAGCGGGCCCGTCGGGGCGTGTGGAGCGGAGCGGGGGGACTCTTTGAAGGCGGGTCTCTCTGAGGGATTCTTTGGGGGCGAGCTGTTTGAACCATTCTGGGTTGCGGCTTGAGCGGCGAGCTGTTGGCCGCTGCACTGGATGCTTTGCCAGAAGCGACTGAGCGGAAGACGGAACGCTTCAAGGGTGTGCGGGGGGGGAGGGGAGGTGACGGGGTGCTGATAAGGATGTCTTGGGGTCTGGTTGGGCTCTTGGGGTTTTGGGAAGGGCTTGGGGGGTTAAAGTTGGCTTGCTTTTAGGCTTTTGCAATTCAGGGTAACCTGGAGGCACGGCGACGGCGTTCCTCTTTTGACCGTCTACTCGAAGCGGTTTTAGGACTTATTGCCGAAGGGCACTTGCTCAGCAAATCTGCGACATCGGGCTTCCCATCTTGTCATGGACAATTGGCTCCAAAAATCCTGAACCTGACAGTGGCCCAACAGTCTACAAGGGCCCCAAGCCCCAAACCCTTCCTTCAATCCTCAACACTGAACCCCTCAACCCGTCCTGCAACAGGTTCAGAATGCCCGCAGAGATTTTTTCGAAACTCTCGGCTGCGAAGGAGATCTTGCAGCCTTCTTGGGGTTTAGGCTCGCGGACGAAGTCGGGGCTTCGGGACGACATCAGAGAGCTTCGGGTTAGGCTCGGTGAGGCTCGTTTAGGCTCGTTTGTTTGCGACAGACAGAGCCTGCACGCTCAGGAAGATGAAGGCTCAGAAGCTGACCGGAGACATGCGGAGCTATATGCGAAATTACACAGGGAAATCTAGCATTCCATCTTTACCCTTTTTTCTGAGGGGAGGGGGGGGGGGGAGGGGGAAATTTCAGGGCGATCCTATTATGCCAAACCGAACTCAGCAGCTCCCCATGGACCTGCAGGCCCCTGCAGGGCAACTTGAATGCAACCACGCCACGCACAGTTCGCCTTAGCACCTGCCACACGTCGCAAGCAGTCTCCAAACTTCCGTCACAGTTTCAGTTCGTGTGGGGTCTGGCCCGGGTCCCATTCGAAATCTGTAGGTCTTTCATCCCTCAACCCTCCTGCTTCCTGAGGATGAGACTTGCCAGTGTCGCGAACCGCCCTGAAGCCCAGGCACCAGAAAAAGGGTTCGGAGTTTCAGGCGAGCCTGTGTCAGAGAGGTGCCCCGGAACACCACCTGGCCGTCGATGGCAAAATGCATCACGGCGCCAGCACCAAAGATGTCGACCTCAGCGTAAACGACTGCCATGCACCCCGCGCATGAAAGATTACCAGGGTTGGGCTCTGAATCATGTTGCAGGCTATCTCGCGCCTTTTCATCGTACTGCTTGTTCATAATTACTTCCGGAGCAACGTAGCCAGGCGAGCCAACGCGCGATTGCCTCAGTTTCTTGCAAGAACCGCTTCATTCACCCATCGCTGACGCTGATCGAGCCTGTTGAAGACCCTCACCCCTTGCGTTGTGATGCAGCACCGCCCTCAAATGTGAGCAGAGAGAGATAGGGACCTCGAACAACCGTCTTCGGTCAGTATAGAGCACCTGACGAGGGCTGACTTCCTGCAAAGGGCAGAAGTCGACAAGTTTTGACACGCTCCTGCTCGCAGATTGACGAGCCGCCGTATGCTGATTTGCGGTGCGGCTCAGCATGTAAGTATATCTTCTCGTGGTGCATGGATGCTGCCTCGCTGCTTCACATGCCCTTGTCATAGACGTAGACACGCCCCACACATGATGCAGCCCTTCCCTGAGACCCTCGACCCTACGCATCCTCAAACCTTTGAAGCCATGCAGAAACCCTGACAGTTCTTGGGTCTTCCAAGGCGCATGGCTGCCGTGTCATCGAGCTCACAGGAAATCCCGAAATCAGCGAGGATGGCTCGCCTCGTATCTGTGCTCCGTTGCCGGGCTGAAGTTGAACACAGGTCTACTGAAACAGCACGGCTCAGACACTCTTTGATAAACGGATGGTGATGTCTACACCCACTATAGGATGCAGGGACTCGTCTGCTTATCTCCCCAAGTAGCTCTCCTGGAACGTTGCCTTCTAGTCAAACCCTGGCTTGGTCTTGAAGAAACCGTCCCGTGCTGTCGGGCACTGCAGTGTGTACACTTGTAACTTGCTTAAGCAGCTTAAGCAGGAACTAGTGTAGCAAGTACCGAAATTGCACGCAAGGCACCTGTTGACCCCGAAGAGTACATTCTCCGCCTTGGAAGACGGCACATGCTGTCTAAATCTGGCCCGAAGGCGAAATATCTCCGCCCAGCAGGGGTGGCAAGTTACGCTTCCTTGGGCTTCTCTCGGTACAAGATCTGTCACGCGGCTTTTGAAACCCAGCTTCTTCGCAGCTCCTTGTTACAAGGGGTGCCATGCCATGCCATACCATGACAAAAGAGATCATTCGCCACGGCCCCGGCCCCGGACGTGGACGTCAGAGGATCCAATAGGGATAGTCGGACCCCGAAGCACCAACACCCCTCTGTAGGCACTCGACGCACAGCGCTTAAAATTCGAGAACTGCCTGTGTCCAAGCCCCGAGAGGCCGCGTATGCAGGGTTGAGTTCTCAAGTGCAAAGAGCCACACGACTCTCAGCTCGGGCATTTATATATACCGCAGCGGGGGGGGGGACCCTTGACAATTTGAGAGGCGATTTCGAGGAGCCTTCACGTCCCGATGGACGAGCTGAAGAGAATGTAGGTGGTTGAGCGCCGAGAAAAGGCCTGCGAGCGGCAAAGAGTCGAAAGTCTCTTGCCTGGCTTTGGGGTTTTGATGCTTTGGTGCTTTGGGATTCGTAGGATTCGCAGCGTGGGTCGACGCGGCGCTATCGAAGAGGCGGGGAGGGGTTTGGGATTTGGGGAGCCGGGTGTTGAGGACTGCTAGTGACGCTAGCGTTTTTTCTTACAAGCTTGTGCGACAGGCCAGCACGGGCCTAGCATCATCTGGACAACTTCAGGCTCTGGTAGGCATCCATTTTCCGACACGTGGTCGAAGAGGTCTCCTGCAATCGATGCTTCAGGCTTATCAGGCTTGACTCGCCAGATCCTCATTGCGAGGTCGGTCCTGCTGAGAGAAGCTCCAGCACGATACGCCACCGCAGGCAGGTGCCAGGTTTTGACCTTACAGGAATGAACAGCTTTGACTACGTTCGGGGGGTTGAAATTTCGGGATGATCGTCGGACCTTCATGGGTACAGTAGCCTTCATGGGTACAGCACCTCCCATGGTAGCACACTAGGCAAATCTAGGCAAATCTAGGCAAGAGGCAAGAAAGCTGCAAGCTGCAGACCAGTTGCTCTTCTGGTTTGGCGTTCGTGTCTTCTGCTTTCAAGAGCGATCCTTTGTCAGACTGGAGCAGTATGGAGCTATTCAATGTTTCAGCACTCGGCTGTTAGGAATCCTTCGCTCCAAGCGACTTTATGCACCAGTCCCTCAAGTGACCAACTCAGAGTCACTACTGTCACTAGAGTTCTCACGGTCTGTGACCGGAGTCTTCAGTCCTTGACCACGCAAACCGCATAACCTTTTGCTCAGAAGAAAGGGCCTTCGCTGGCATCTGGCTCTTCATCCTCGGCTGGTTCACCTCATCTGCGCCGCTTCAGGTCGTTGACGTGCTCGCTGTCGGCCATGTCTTGGCCGCATCTTGGGGGCGGGATCTGAAACGCTGCAGAGGCGCAGAATACCCCAACAAAGCCGCAGATGTTTGGGTGACCTTCAGCTCAGCGCTCAGATTGACAAGCGCTGAGTACTTCGGTCAGACGGAAGCGCATACGGCATACACATGCTCAGCTTGGGACCCGCTGCACTGGCCAGACTCAGAACTTCACTCCTTCCAAGGCAGCCAAGCAAGCTAGAACAAACAAAGTCTTTCACGACAATGTGGCCGCAACAAAGATTTTACACTTGGCACATGAGCCAATGAGCCAGCGGTTTCCACTAGAGTTCATACGGATTCGAATTCGCGCGAACGCGTGTCCGCACAGTAAGAGTTGCACTATGACAGCATCAGGACGAGTGGGCCGGGGGCCAGCAAAGTTCGACCTTTCGTCGAAAGATGGGAGTGGCGCGGAGTGGAGTGGAGTGGAGTGGAGTGGAGGGGAGGGGAGGGGAGGGGAGGGAGGGCGACCGAGAGCAAAGTCTGGTCAACTAAAGCGGTATCACCTCGGGCCTGACGGCTTAAGGATCAAACCGCGATCCAAAGGACAAACAGACAGGCAAGCCAGAACAGAAATTAGACAAGGCCAACGAACAAGAAAGAGGAAAACCACAACCAACCCAACCCAACGGGCAAAACCCGTCGGAGCCTCAAACAACCAGCTGAGGCAACAAGCCGAGGCAACCCGCTGAGGGAGACAGCTGAGGCAATCTGAGACAAGCAGAGGAAAACAGCAGAGGAAACCAGCTGAGTGAAACATCTGACAGAACCAGCTGCTGAAACCAGCTGAGGAAATGAACCTCTGAAACCGAACGCAAAGCATCATTGGCCGGGGTGGGTTGACTCAGAGGCGTAACCCGAAACTTCTAAACCCTAAACCGGATGAACCCCCAAATCCAAAAAGTGCCTCAGCCCAGGTCCTGAGCGCCGTTCTGTCGACATTGCTCTTTAAAACTTTCACTGCGCAGCAGCCGTCGGGCCGGCGAAGCCTGAAGCAAACTGGACTGACCAAGCAATCAATGCGGTTTAGGATTTCGGACTTTAGGTCTCAGCCAAGTCACAAGTGCTTATGTATCTAATTATCTAAGTAAGTAAAGTACCTGTTGGGCTTTTTGTCGCTTGTTTGGGGGCGGCTGGGAATCATTTGGCTCTGTGTATGCTTTGTACACAGGCTTTGAGCTTTCCGGCCTTTCTGGCAGCTGCAGTTCTTCTCTGGGCCTTGGCGTAAAGCGAACTTTTCAGACAAACTCGCAGCGTAGTGGCGTAGTGCCTGCGTAGTGTATGCTGACCTCAAGATGTGGTTTGGGGCCCGAGCTTGGCGGCCAAAACCTTGCCACAGCTTCCAGTGCCCAACTTTTGACCTTGGAGCACGCGACACGCGCCGGTTTATGCTCCATGGCGCGGAAGAAGCCGAAAGCAGTCAAGCGCTTCGCGACATCCCGCATGCATTTCCCTGCTGCGTCCAATGTGGTGCTGGCAGTTTCTTTGCTAACTTGTACCCAGGTGGCATGTCGAAAAGCTGTCCTTCCAGTCCTTATCGCCCAGAAGCAAGGATGCAACGAGGAAGGCAAAGTACACCCGAAAGAGCGTTTGAGAATGCTATGTGGCGATGCAGCGCACAGATTGCAACCTAGCTTAGCAATGGCGTGCAAAAGTTCCATGAGCCTAAACTTACTGGTTCTTAGGATCCCTCCCTATATGATCCCTCCACAACATCGCAGTCTGTTGCGAGTATCCCCGGAGTCTCAGAAGAGCGGTCCGGGCAAGAACGGAGAAGCTAAAGCACACCACGAAGCAGCTCCAAGTCTTTCAAGTGCACTAAGAGGACGGAGCGCACTCGCTCCACGTTCCCGCATGGCACCCAAGCCCCCAACCCTAAACCCTGAAAGCAAAACCCCCAAATCCTGAATTCTGAACCCTAACCAAACCTGAACTACAGGGGGGCAGCGTGAAAACCCTGCGCCCTAAAGCCTCACCCGAAAACGAAACCTTAAACCCTAAACCCACCATCAACCACAAACCATGAACCACAAGGTGGGAAGGCAACCTGAACCCGTTGATGTTTTGGAAAGTGGTTTTTCACGGCTTTGCGCTTGTGGGCTCGGAAGAAATTTGGGCGGGTTCAGGTTTTACGGTGACGAGGCATTGCTATGCTGTGAATTCACGGGACCGGCGAGAACCATATGCTCTGCTATAGATTTGAACTGACACGGTGTTTGTGTGCAGGAACTGTTCTTGTAGGGTTTCGTGACCTCCCCGGAAACAGAAAGACTGGCAGCAAAGCCCAGGAAGCCCGAAAAAGCTGAATTGCAAGGATCGTGACAGAAGACAACAGTCAGGGACGATGTGAAATATGCTACGCAGGCCACGCCTTTTGGCTGAACACCCAGAACCATCGGAAAAAGTTGGTGTTTTGGGGCCCCGTACTCCTACGAAAGCGTGCAGTGCGAATCAGCCGGCAAGGACGACGGTAAAAAGGCAAAAGATGCTGCGTCTCAACCGGCGCAAAAGCAGCAGAAAAAACTGAAGATCCCAAGCCCTCCACCTCCCCACCACCCCGCGAAAACGCAATGTCAGCTAGCAAAGCCCGCGATCCTAAAAGAGCTGAGATGAAACAAGCGTGAAACAAGCAAAACATAGCCAGGGACGAATTCGCCTCGGCTTCCTGCCGAGAACCCCCGGTTTGTGGGACCCCCCCGATCGCTTTGAGCAGCTGCGGCGGCTCCCCCACTGCCACCCCCCCTCCCCCCCCCTTGCCCCCCCCCCCCCCCCTCCCCCCTTGCCCCCCCCCCCCCCCCCCTTGCCCCCCCCCCCCCCCCCCCCCCCCCCCCCCCCCCTCCCCACCCCCCCCCTCAACTTTTGACTTGACTGTTCTTGTGGGGGCGCCTCCAGGCGTCATCTCCACATACAAGTACTGCATGCTCTGGGCCGGCCCGGCTGCCGAGGCGGCGCGCGCAAGCGTTTACAATTTTGTCGAACACGCGCCACGCAGGCCACGCTTTTTGGCTGCTGGTGGATTCTCTTCGATGAACCCTGTTATGTATATATATATATATACATATATACATACATACATACATACATACATACATACATACATACATACATACATACATACATACATACATACATACATACATACATACAGCATAGAGCAAACCCTCTCAGGACCCTCAACCACCTCAATGCAGCTCGAGGTCCCATCGAACAGCGCCCCGAAGCGACAGCTCCATGAGGGTGTCAGGAGCCGAGGAGCAAATTATCCAGGCTTCGTCTGGGCTTTGGGGGGGGGGGGGGGAGCTCCGGGCTTCCTATGGCTTCCCTATGGCTTCCTAGGCACCCGAATCCGAAGCAGCAGGTGCCACTGCACAGCTCGGACGAAAGGCGACGCAGTTCTCGCTCACATGACACTCTCCAACAGATTTTGCTCTGACCACTTTTGGCCTGTCACTAGCTGCCACCTTCCATCCGAGAGGCCACTCGGGGCGAACGATGACTCGAACCTGGAGGTAGCATCTCCACTATCTGAATCGTCTCACCCACTTATTGAAAGATGATCTCGGCTCCGGCATCGTGAAGTGAGGATCCGGCTCTGCGCAGGCAAGAAACGCACGAAACTCAACCCTGCCGTTGCCAACTCTGTCTTTCCAGGGCTCTTTGAGGGCTCTACAGCCCTGCGGTTCATCCGAAAGAAGGGGACCCACTTTTTGGGTGAATCTCCATGTAAGTCTGGGATTCCCTAGGCCAAAATCACAAATCGTTGGATCAGAGCCCCCCCCCCACCCAATACTACTGACAGCATAGGACGTCAAACCTGCGCAAAGGTGCGCACCCTGAGCCTGGCAGTAACGCTGACAAGCCTCACACCCTCATCCGAAAACTTGTTGGGGCTTGGGGTCCAAGTGCCCAAAGTGCCCAAAGTGCCCAAACACAAGCCACGCTCTGGAGCGAGTAGCTCGTCCGACACTTCGAACGGGCGTGGCGCCACCGTGATCAGGTGTGAGGCAGCATCTCCCTGCCCAGGTTTTCGACCCCCTTGTTACGGTCTGGGGGCTTTAGGGTCTAAGATCTACCGTTTAGGGGTCTTAAGGTGTTCAGGAGTACTTTCAGAAGCCTGTTGCTTGCCCCATGCAATGTCTTCAACGTCCACCCCCCTCCGCTTTCACGCCCTGAATTTGTCACTGTGATGCAAACAAGCAGTGCCAAAAAGACGGAACAGCGCAAGAGTGTCAATCACGCACTCCATATTCTCCCACCTCCCACTTCAGCCTAATCTCCATCAAACCACAAAATACAAAAATAAGGGTTGTGCTCAAAGGTCTGCATCCTGAAGGGTGATCTTCTCGAAGCAACTGGCCATGAAGATTGAGGTTACTCTAAGTCTCCGTTCATTCAAAACCCATAGGCTTGGGCCTTTCTGGCTATGGAAGGCATCGGAGATCATAGGCTTGCAAGCGTGCAAGGTTTAAGGCGCCTGCGCATTTGTCAGGTTCTGGACTGGAGCAGTCACCACGTCTGCCAACAGGACTGGAATCGAGAACAAGTGGTCCTTGGGGGCCAAGCCGCCAGGTCTTCTACTCGTGCCTCTTTTTGCGATGAGTGCAATTCCTGGATTGAGGAGAACCAGCATTGGAGTCGGGGCGGGTTGTCGGTTCGACCTGGGTTTGAGCCTTTGCCGCGCACTTGACGAGCCCTCCGTGTCACATGCGGCTCTTTTCTGTCAGCTGGGCCCAAAGGAAGAGGCTATCGCAGCCGAGGGTCCTCAGTGTCGCCCTTGTGGACATGCAGTTGCGTGTTGTCCATCATCACCGGGCAGTCAAGAGGCTGCGAAGCCCTGCACAGACAGTACGAAGGAGTTGAAGGAGTCATGATGGAACTACATCAGACGCGGAACGGCCGAAACAGCTGGAACCTTATGCATTTACAATGGTTCCCTTGCAGAAGGGTGTTGAAAGCACACGCTCGGAACCTCAAATGGACCTGCGCGAGCTATCCTGTTGACCTCTTTTCTGGGTCGGAGCCCTAAGGCTGCGAGCCATTTGCAACAGGTCTTGCCTGCAGTTCGCTGGTTCGGAGGCATTGCTTCCACTCACCTGGTGAGGCGCTACCAAAAACGAGGCGCTGGGCACCTTTCCTCTACTTCGTTTTAAAACTTTACGGCCAAGCTGCGACGCTGTTCAACAGCCGGCGCAGCAACTCTCCACGGAAAAGTGAATGATCGGAAGGCGCCTGACAGCAGGTGCGCTGTTTCGGATGGCTTGTAGATGCTCGAGTGTTGGCAGCCTGTTGTTCCTGGATTTGGATGCCCACCATTGCTGGCGACATCGTCTAGTCACTGCAAACCTCGCAACCCAATGCAGTCCAAGAAACATTATGGCCAAGACCTCAGTGCTGAGAGGGCGCAGAGGGCCTTGGGGGTTAGGGTAGGGTTGGGGATTTATCGCAACGCGGACCCACCGAAATTCGCGGCCCGTTGTGAGGCCATCCTGGCCCCTTCTAGCAAGAGTCTTGAGCCCCCTCAACCACCTCAACCCTGGGCACCCGGAAGCCCAAAGAAAACAGGTGGCGCAAGGGCATCGGGCAGGGCGAAGATTCCAGGTGCACCTGAGTTCTGGTTGAAACGCCCCGACACGCGGGGGAGGGCATTACATGTTTCAGCGGCTTCGGGGCTTCAATGTTGTGGGGCATTCGGGTTTGTAGGGTTCAGCGGCGGGGCGAGTCCGGCGTCCTGCTTCCGATTACGGGCAACGCCCAATCTCGAGCAAGATGCTGGGTGCAGCCACAGCGTTTTGTCCGAAGGCGGTCTCACATCACCAGCCATAGTATGACTTCTCGAGTCACCATGGCAGGCACACCCCTCCAAGAACACGGACACCCCAAAGAATGAACACTTGCACGCCTCCAAACCCCAGCATCCTCCTATGCAGCCCCAGCTGATCTGAACAAAACGGCGGATTGAAAAATGGACTGTTTTGCTGCGACTGTTTTGCTGCCCAAGAGACATTGTCTGAGATAGCTTGTCTACCTTAACTGAGCTCCTGGAGGTTTGCACGGTCAATGCGTCAAGGCTGTGCAAACAAACCATGACATGTTCTGATCTAGCTTTCATAGACCATCCATTACATTGCATGACTCCCTTTGGGCCATGGCGATCCAGTGATTCACATCAGGCCGAAGAGCATGAAGCACAGTTTAGCTGACATTCCCCCACATCCCGCTTGCGGGGGGGGGGGGCGGGGGGAGGTTGCTCGGGTGTTGTCTTTTGGTGGTGCTTGTTTCGAGTTGCCTATAACAGGACTCTGGTTTTGAAGCAACTCCGCACGATTCCCCAAGCTGCCAAAACTCAAAGACCCTAAACCCCCCAAGGTACCCCCCAAAAACCCACCCAAACGCCGCAATCCCAAGCCCCTCGGCATTAAGGAGCGGATACCAAATGCTGCTTGAAGCAGGTGACCACACGGCCTGTTGGCGCAGCTCTTCGGCTTTCCCAGAGCCGATAGGCAGGCGACCTGACGTCGGTCGCCACCTCAGGACAAAAACCTCCGAAAATGAAGGGAACGGAGGGGTTTCCGCCCATTTTTTTTTGGGGGGGGGGGGGGGGGGGGGGGGGTCCGATAGTTATTGGAGGGGGTAGGGCTTTTTGGGGTTTTCTTAAGGCTATTTTGGAGCCTTTTAGGGCTTTTAGGGCGCCGGGTGCATGCCTCGCCTTGCTGATGGGGTTTTGGGCGAGCGTTCCACCCCACGGTTTATGAAGCTTGCCACTCGCCCACAGGCTTGTGAAACCCATAAGCGCCCGAGGCTCTAAACTCCCCATAAGCCCTAAGCTGAACCGCGTCTGAGGATGGAGCTGTTGCAGAACGCGTTCCTTCACCTGCATCGGTTTAGGGAACATGACAGATTACGAAAGGATCTGGAGAAAAATGGGAGCAACTGAAGTTGTCAGACGCCTCTGCTTGTGCAGCTGTCTTTGCGCAGCTTAGTGTTGTCCTTTCATAGGTTGATCTGCACACGACCCCCACAGCTTGCCGCCCGCAAAGCTGGTGGGGAAAGCTCATTGTTTGTAGAGGAACAGTCGAGGCGGCTGACTTCTCCAAACCTCGACAGCATTTCTGCTGAAGCCGGAGGTTCTTAAGCGCAAGTCCAGCAGCGCATGAGCTTCTAATCCAAACTCTGTACGTCAAAGCGTGAGTTTTTGGAGTGCGATCTGAAGGTCTTTGCCTTCCGTACACGCCATGCTCAGCGCAGGGCCGCTTTGCTAGTTTTGCATACGGTGACCAAGGCCATACACAAGGACGACCACTCAACACACCCACACCCACCCATATCCACCCGTCTCAGTGCCATTCAAGGCTATCCACAACGCAACATTCCAGCACTGAACCCCATGCGGACAACATGGAAAACAAAGGGAAGGACGAGGACCAGAAGTCGCCCCAGGCAGAGTGAGAGCATCACACCCCGAACTCCCCAAACTCTCTTTTGCCCCATCGTCAATGGCGCGAAAAGTCTGCTGAGCCCTACCAGGACCAGCATGCATCGCACAGAACACCTAGCAAAAGTATGTTGTCCAAGCACATCTGACATTCCATTCCGCTTAGCGTGCGTCGACTCACGCTGCAGCAAGGGGGCTGAGATGGTCAGGGGCCCAATGGTTGCAGTTTTGGCTTTCCTCGACGGCATCTTCTTGGGGCCCATCTCATTTACGACCCGCTCACACCTCGAGGCCCAGAGTGCCACAGAGGCCCTCCAACTCCTCCATGGACTCCTGGCTCTGGGACACTGAGTTCACTTTACAACTCTTAGAGTCTTAGGGTCTGAGGGCCTTCGGGGCGCCGCAGGACCAGAGATGCGCTTTTGATCACAGAGGTTTTCTTGTGGCCTTCTGAGGATGTCGAGGCCTCCGAAAACCTCAACAGACCCCCTAAAAAACCCCCGAGAGAAACTGGGAGTCGAGCGACTCTCCTTGGGACTGGGGTCAGCCTTTAGGGTGCCGGGGTTCCGTGCAGAAAAACTCCGAGGCTTTCTGTGGAGAACTTCAAAAGTTTTGGAGACCTTGAGTCGTGCCTCTGGCGAGAAGGAAGGGCCGAATGCCGAGCTGGCCCGCTTCTTGGGGCCCGGATCCCAGCCTCAGCTCGGAGGGCTTCGTACTACAGGGGGGCTGTTCTACACTCGGCTTTGCGGGGTTGTAGAGTTGTAGGGATACGAACTCGGGATATAGAGCCACCTGCGGTCCTCATGATTGTCTCGACATGCCATGAGCTTCTTCGCGGTATGAGCCCCCCGGCCCACGATGACTGCCTGCATCGACGAGGGCGAGCCACACACAGTCGTGATGTTCTGTCTTCAGGCCTGGTGCCTAATGTACGCAGCTGGCCTAGCGCCTAGCATGTGCCACGGCGCCTTGCCAGCCAGTTCCCGGCCGAGTGCATCAAACTCCTGTCCGCGGCCACTTCGGAAGACGGGGAGCGGACGGCAAGCACTCAAGAGCCTCCATGTACTCGCCATTGCCCTGCGGGCCCTGCGCGCAGAGTCCCAACGGTCGCAGTAACCTGCTCCTTGCAAATCAAAACAGGGACCGATGCAGGTGCTCATGTTCGCACTGCTGGATTCCAGCAGAATGGTACTCTATACCTTACCACAGCAACCTCTGTTAAAATGTGGTCCGATGCAGAATGGCTTAGCCTGTCGTTACCCTCACTACCCTTTGCTGCAAGAAGGGGAGAGCTAACAGCATGCTGCGAGGAGAAAACCACTTGGAACGAAAATCGGAACGAAAATCGGGAAACCAGAACACATTTGGGGCATCCAGCTTGTGAAGCGCCAGGTGTTCAATCTTGGGAGTCCTAGGCAAAAATGCAGGTGCAACTAGTACGTGAGTTGTTGCTTCTTCTGGCCTCCCCAATGCAGATGTCCCTCCTAGCGGCATCTACTCAACTCATGAGCACGTTTCAGGCCTGCATTTTCAAGTACCAGACCTCAAGTCCTGGGTAAACTCTGTGAGCGGTGGCTTTCACTTTGTACTTGGGCTGATGGATGCCACGCATTGTTGGCTCTGATCTCGAGGTTGAGAACGAACGACACTGCCCTAATTTTCGCATGACCGTGTTCTTGCCTTTTTCTTCGTGTAGTTACTCCTGCATGATTCTCTGTGGGGGCGGGCATTTCAGGGATACTCTGCGGGCTTCTCTGCGCATGTGGGAACAGGAGAGGTGGTGAAAACCCGTCGGCAATGCATCGATAGGGGTTGCACTCTGCGCCTCGACTGCCGTCTCCAAAGTGCGACAGCTGCAACACTTGCCGCCGCCAGAGCATGCCGCTGGCCTTCGAGTGGAATTGCTGCTCCCACATGATCACTTGAGCTTGACGACAGTTGACTTTCCGCGCTACGGAAACAAACTCTGACTCGGTCCCACCTTGATACCAGGTGCTCACCGTGGGCGTAGGGCCCTGCACCACCCAAGTTCTAAACCCCTGCGAGAAGAGGAGCAGCCCCACAAGTCCCGGTTTCAACCACAATGACCTCTCAAGAGCCCACCTCTTTACCACCAAGCGACGGCCTGATGAGGAGAATGGGCGCCTGCAGAAGCGCAACGATTGGATCGGACAAAACAAAAACTGACGTCGGCTTGGGGTTTAGGGAGTGGGTTTGGGCCGAGTTAGGGGCTATGTTCTTTAGCAGGTTGGATGGCTGTCGCTTCTCACTTGGTCCCAGGCTGGCCAGCATTGGCCCGCAAACTCAGAATTCTTAACAAGAGGATTAATCAATGTTTGCGAAGATTTGGATCGGAGACCAATGCCTATACTATACGAGAACAGAAGTTGGAGCAAGCCGCCACGCTCAACAGGTTTGATTTTCGCTGGAATACACGAATGAATAGGCTTTCTTACAGGCAAGCTATTCTCATTGAGACCCATTTGCAGAGTTCTCAAAGGGGGATTTAAGAATCACTCGTCTCGTATCAACACAACTAACATGCCTGCAGGGTCAATCCGGAACAGTAACAATGACCATTGCCGAGCAGGGTCTAAAGAAACTCAGCCCGAATGACAAGAAGAACGATATATTCCAATGGCTTAGAGTTTAGGGCTTAGGCTTAGGAATCGGAGCGTTACAGCTGGCTAGCCTCATCAGAACTGCCCCGCCAAGCCCGCGCAGCTCCATGGCAAGCAGGGCTCGGAAACATGCCGAGGGGGGATGTCGGGCATCCTTCCTGGGTCTGGTTGAGTAGTCCGGCTTCGAAAAGGCAACTTTCCGGCTCACCTTGGCATCGGGATGCTTTTGACTTGTGAGACCATGCTGCTGAGATTCAAGAAAGGCTCAAGGTGCAGTCCCAGCTCCATGAAACGAGCGCTGTTCAGGGCTGAAACCAGGCTACTGCAGGACCTCTTGGCCGACACGCGGTTTCGCCCTTTTTCGACCTGCGAGGGCACTGGGTGCCCAGCCTGGGGGCCTTCCTTGCATTAACCTTCATCCTAGGCAGCCTGTGTTCCCGATGCATTTTGGCAACATCTGTTCTTGCAGCTCCGGCATGGCACGTGCAAAAACAACAACCACGCTGAACTGATCAAGTCCTGGAGGGGAACACAGGAGCAACACAGGACGGCCTGAGCTTCAGAGCTGCAACTTTGGCAGCGACGAGGTTTGGGGGGGGGGGGGGGGGGGGGGGGGGGGTAGACCGACAGGTGCACAGAACGATGTGAGGGGTCATGCTAAGCATTTGCTGTACTCAGGCTTCGATGGAGCGTGGCTGTGTAGGCATTGATGGCCTGACACAACCCTGCAACAGTCAGACTGTTTCTTTCCAGGCTTTGCGCGGGAAT